GGCTTCTGTTGGATGTCTGTCCCATCTAGTGTAGCTCTGATCACTGAGTGGACCCCAAACCTCACTTCCATACAGCGCTATGGGCTGAATCACACTAGCAAAGATTTTACACCAAATTGGAAGCGGTATTTCAATATTTTGGAATTTTTTCTTGATTGCGTATAGAGGTCTTCGAGCTTTATCTTTGAGAGCATTCACTGCCAAACTGAAACTCCCCGATGCAGTGACGATCAGGCCGAGGTAAGTGTACTGCATCATGTGTTCTAGACTGAACTGGTATCTGTGTTCCTGACATCTGGGCTTTTTCTGAAAGACCATAATGTTGGTCTTTTTGAGGTTTACTGCCAGGGCCCAGTTCTGGCAGTAGTTGTCCAGCAGGTCCAGGTGCTGCTGTAGTCCCTGTGTGTCTATCTATCTATCATCTCTATCTTGTCTGTCTGTCTGTATATCTATCATCTCTCTATCTTGTCTGTCTGTCTGTATATCTATCTATCATCTCTCTATCTTGTCTATCTATGTATGTCTGTCTGTCTATTACTCTGTCTGTATGTCTATCTATCTTGTCTGTCTGTCTATCTATTAATCTGTCTGTCATCTCTCTATCTTGTCTGTGTCATCTCTATCTTGTCTGTCTGTCTGTCTATCTATTAATCTGTCTGTCATCTCTATCTTGTCTGTCTGTCTGTCTGTCATCTCTATCTTGTCTGTCTGTCTGTCTATCTATTAATCTGCCTGTCATCTCTATCTTGTCTGTCTGTCTGTCTATCTATTAATCTGCCTGTCATCTCTATCTTGTCTGTCTGTCTGTCTATCTATTAATCTGCCTGTCATCTCTATCTTGTCTGTCTGTCTGTCTATCTATTAATCTGCCTGTCATCTCTATCTTGTCTGTCTGTCTGTCTATCTATTAATCTGCCTGTCATCTCTATCTTGTCTGTCTGTCTGTCTATCTATTAATCTGCCTGTCATCTCTATCTTGTCTGTCTGTCTGTCTATCTATTAATCTGCCTGTCATCTCTATCTTGTCTGTCTGTCTGTCTATCTATTAATCTGTCTGTCATCTCTCTATCTTGTCTGTCTATCTATCATCTCTCTATCTTGTCTGTCTATCTATCTTGTCTGTCTGTCTATCTATCTATCATCTCTATCTTGTCTGTCTGTCTGTTAATCTGTCTGTCTGTATATCTATCTATCATCTCTATCTTGTCTATGTATGTCTGTCTGTCTGTCTATTAATCTGTCTGTATGTCTATCTATTAATCTGTCTGTCATCTCTCTATCTTGTCTGTCTGTCTATCTATTAATCTGTCTGTCATCTCTCTATCTTGTCTGTCTGTCTATCTATTAATCTGTCTGTCATCTCTCTATCTTGTCTGTCTGTCTATCTATTAATCTGTCTGTCATCTCTCTATCTTGTCTGTCTGTCTATCTATTAATCTGTCTGTCATCTCTCTATCTTGTCTGTCTGTCTATCTATTAATCTGTCTGTCATCTCTCTATCTTGTCTGTCTGTC